AAAAAAAACAGACGAAATGTCATAAAACCATAAAGTGTATAATGATTACCTTATTGATATAACCAAAGACTATGCATCAAAACCACTTGCTTAATAGACTGGAACTGTTGATTCAGTTGCTGAACCACTCAATCCGCACGTGACTTTACGTGATGTATTCGGATAATCAACACAAACAAAGGAAAAAGGAAAAAATTAAATACAAAGTATGTTTTATCACATTCTGACCGGCACGTTTTCGTAAATAGCCTTCTTTCTGGCGGACAATAAGGGAAGATGAGGATGCAATGCGTTAGCATTTAGATTCACATCTACCAACCCATCTTCACGTACCGAATGATCTCAAAGATAGCTGAAAGTACAGCCATTATTTTTGATCGTTTTGGAGAATCTACTACTCTGCTTACCTGACCCGCAAACCACAAATACGAAGAGTCCAATCAGCCAAGGAGCGGCTGGATACTTGTCTTCTTGGGGTTTCTAAATGCACACTTCTAAAGGTGTTGTGATTCAAAAAAAAAGGTTGGGCTATGAAATTGACACAAATTTCAACGCATTAGGCCAAGATCTTACCTTTCCTGTATAAAGAAGGTTTCTTGTATGAGTTAGGAAATGTGTAAAAATAAATGAATGATTAGCAAGAGATTTGGATGATTAACTAGAATGAAGACTATAATTTAGGGTCAATAAGGAAATAGGAAGATCTTTGCTCACCGAATGATATGGTTATCGTGCCAATCTAATCACGAGAAGACAAGATGTGAAGAAATCAAAGCCATTAAGAATGAACAACATCTATGAACAATACCATCGAATGATGACAGTTTGCGGAAAGAATGTTTCGTTTTGCATGAATAAGAATAAATCATATAAGTAGATGAAAAATTCTAACACATATATGTAAGAAGGATGATGCTTGTTCATGTCTTGAGCTACCATGATTAGAAGTCTATCAATCAAAGAAGGAATGAAAGTGTGAATGTTCATTTTGAAACAAAAACGGATTATCCAACTCAACTTACCAGGGATTTAGCGACATTTCCGCGATTAGTGACGTTTTTGCTGAATTGTGAATTGGCAACATTCATACGTTGCTTTGGGGCCATGTTTTCTGAAATGCCAAATAAAATGTGATAATATAGAAATGTAGACTTCTGGGAAAAGGACGAAATCAGAGAAGAGGTGAATCACAACAATGATCATGGAACTCTACTCATTATGACAAGAGAAGAGAAATGAATGTCTGCCATTCTCGGCAATTGACCCGCTTGTGAACAGATCGAAAGGCGTTCATATCTCGTGTAGCCGGTGGTACATGTGGCATTGATCAACGAACACTAAAGTACGATAGCGAGCTGTGCCGGGCTGGACTACGGTATGCGCTGAGTGTGCGCGTCGTGTGGCGTGAAACCTCGAGCTGCGTGGTCCGAGGCAGATTGTGCGACTTCAATAAGTGGACGAGTTGCTCGACTTGATTTTCATTTCAAAAATGATTTTGTAATAGAAGTTCTTTTAGTTTGCAAGCCTGTCTTGGAGGAGTTACTTGATAATAGTTAGTTCCTAGTTTTTTAGGCGACATTTAGAGTCTTTGATGAGCTCGTTTTTTTCTGTTCAGTTTACAATGTATTATTGGTACTTTTCCATCTTTTCGTGGTTATTTAGACAAGCTCCATTTTTAAACCAGATTTTTTAGAGTGTGGTGGTTCAGTCTTGTCCTCTTTTTCTGACGCTGAATTTTTTTTTTTGAGATAAAGCGTCGACAGTCGATAAAGTGTAATGGTGGAAGTAACCGGGAATTAAGGTTTACTAGTCGTTTAAGCTGGCCAGCAGTCCGAGTATTATACATTTGTGATTTTATGATGACATCGGAAATCTGCCACAAGTTTCATGGTAGATATTTGTGCAGTTGAAACTTTCGGTATAAATTAAGACTTCAAGTTAGCAGCCGCCTACCTTGAACGTAACTGCATTCCTAGGTAGTAGATTCAGTGCTACATCAGCGCATCATCTGTCTCTGAACGAACATTCCATGCTTATGTTAGTTCTACGAAATTTACCTGTCTTTACCGTACACCTATCGTAAGTCAAAGACGTAATCTTCTGCGATAATAGGTTTCTTGTAGTCGGCTTGTCGCATAGCCCTTCCCTTCATGCAAGTTTACTTTCAAGAAAAGACCAAAAATTTTTGAAGTACCCATTGTGTAACTCGACGAAAGTTTTCAAATCGAGTAGAGAGATTTGATTACTGGCCATGAATTTTTTGCCTAGTTCTGATATCTCTGGTTGCTTTGTTCGTATCTTATTCCAGGGTAAGTGTGATTGAATATGAGATTGTATATTTGCTGCGTGGTGACTTATGTGACTCTATATCTTACAAGGGAAGAGTACTTGGTGACCATGCTTTTTGCAGTGAGATGTTAACTATTAGATGCATCTTGAAACGCTGATTCCAAATATGTGTTCATTCTCTGCTATGCGACTCTCTGAACAAAGTTATAGATTTTTTTTCAATTTTAATTTTACGAAGTCTACGCAGTGAAAATCGTATCCAAGCTTTTTAGAGTCGGTTATGTCGGAGACAGTTTTTCTGAGCTTCACGTAAACTTTTAATATATTAGGACTTCTTTTGTAGTGCGCAAGTGATAATACCGACGCTATCGGTAAATTTTGCCACCAAAACAGTGCAAATTTTAATGGCTAAAATGTCCATAACTTCCTTCGGAAGAGCGCGCAGCAGGTCCCGAAGGTAGATT